CGACCGAGGAGCCGGGCGGGGCGCCGATCTCGTACTCGCCCGTGACCAGCGTGTCGCGGTGGATCTCCTCGCGCAGGCACTTGCGCGCCTTGCCCGGCAGCTGGAAGGAGATGGGCCGCGCGGGGCCCACCAGCAGCAGCAGCAGCAATAACGGCGGCAACGGCAACATGGCGGCGACGCGGCGCTCCGGATGCCACAGGCCGCACGTCCGCGCGCCGCACGTGACCCACCGCCGCCTGCGTGGTGCGTCACCGGGGGCGGGGCGGGCGTGGAGTAGCGTCATCCTGGGCTGCGCGCGTCCGATTGTGGGGCGGTGGTAGGGTGCTTTTCGGCGCGCGGTTTGGTGGGTTCGTGCGCACGTAGGCGCACTGCCCGTTCCAGTCTTGGACCCGGGGTGCTGTCACGTGCCTCTTCGCTGCCGAGTAGGGGTGGGGATTAGGTTCGTCAAATAAAGTTTAGTCGATTGAGCAGTCAAATATCATAAAAAATTGCCACAAGATCCCAATAATGCATAGGAAAAGGAGAAGTTTTCCATCTAGAAATGTGTCAAAAACAATAAATCATATTTCTGTCAAGAAAACTACAAAGAAATAGGGTTTTTTTTGTAAATTTGTTATCATCTTTGACCCCCTCAAAAATATGCAGTCAACTGATTGACTTGCCAGCCCTAGTGCTTGCCAAGCCTACTGTTTGCCAACTCTAGGTGGGAACCTTCCCTTGGCAGCTGTTCCAGCTGCTCCCTCCCCAGGCTGCCCAGTGCTGAGGCACAGAGCTGATGGGGCCTCGCAAGGGCCTTTAGTCCAGGCCCCTGCTCAAGGCAGGAGGGTCTCTGGGGACCCTGTCCTGCCATGCATCTGTCCAGGCTGCTCCTGAGGACCATCAGGTTGGCTCTGAGGAGCTGGACGGGAGCGAAACATTTACTCATTTGACCTGAGCTGGGGGAGGTGGGACAGAGCTGGCTGTGTTAGGCTGAAGTCAAGGAGCAGGCAGGGAGACTGGCACCTTACAAGCGAACCTGAGAGAGAACGAGAGAGCGTCTACCTAACTACCCAAGTGTGTGTGTGTGCGAGTCTATCTGTTTCTACTAGCTAGACAGACATGCGCACACACGCACTGGCTCTGCAGGTCTGTAAAAATGCAAATGTGTGGCTGTGAGGTTCAGAGGGAATGGGAGACAATAGGCGTGAGACAGGTGGGGTGGGGAGGGAAGGGGGAATGTTGAACTGGTGACAGACTAGCTGATAAAATGCAGACTGATTGCATGGGGTTATCAGATGGCAGGCAAGTTATAACATGCTGTCAATCCAATGTCTATATTTAGTCCATGATTTTTTATATCCAATACATTTATGAAGTGAAGTTGTAGGCTTGTCTGCGAAAGGTGTTTTGTAAACTGCCTTTGAGGATTAGAACTGAGAGACTGGAGAGAGAGTGATTGTCTTGTGAGAAGTGTGCCCCCACAGAAGTGATTCTTCCACTCTGTTCAGCCCTGGCAAGGCCCCTCCTCCCCCAGCCTACTGTGTCCAGTTCTGGGCCCCACACTTCAAAAATGTTAGGGACAGATTTTAATGAGCCCAGAGCAGAGCAAGAATAATGACTGGGGCCTGGGAGGCAAGTCTTATGAGGAAAGGCTGAAAGAAATAGGGTTGTTTAGTCAGAGAAGACTGAGTGGGGCTTTGATTAGTCTTCATATAGCTGAAGGGTGATTACAGAGGATGGAGATGGGCTTTTCTCTGTGGCTACGGAAGACAGGACCTGGAGCAATGGCTTTAAGTTGCAACAGAGGATATTTAGGATTAGGAGGAACTTTCTGACTATAAAGGTCGTCAAGCACTGCAACAGGCTACCTAGAGAAATTGTGGATTCTCCATCTGTGGAAGTTTTCTTGAAATTGGCAAAGAGCCTATGACTATGGTTGATGCAAGTGCACATGGCTTGCAGCAATGCAGGGATGTGGCCAGGCATCCAGAGCAAAACAAAAGCAGCAACTTCTGGTTGCTGCTGTAATCCTGAATGTGAACCTGGGGCTGCTGGCAGAAGTTGCTCTTTTTTGCGTCGTGTCTGCCTTCCGTCCCTGACTAGCACCCAGGATGGTTGCCCCTGTCACTCCCCCTGTACTTACACCACTGATGGCTTGATTATGTCTTGATGCATGATCACCAGTGGCACATGCTTCCAAAATACAGAACTATGTTCAGATTGTAAAAGAAATGGTGATGATTATTTTCTGTAGCAATTTTATTAATATTATGGGCAGGAAACAAAATAGACTATAACGAACTGCAAAGCAATCTTAAGAAACCATGTATAAGCCATTGCTTAAGCTTCAGAAAATAGTTATTAATTCACAAAAAGATTGGTTAGATGTGAAATGCAGGCCTGGTGAGGACATCAGTGTGTATCTGCTTTTAAAAGAGCATGTAATACTGAAAACAGGGTTCAGGAGGAAGAAGCATTTGAAGTAACTGTGACTTCAGTACTACCCATTTTTGAGACAAAATTTTGACAAACTCAGGAAACTCATTGTGACTTAATATTACGGAAGTCTGAGAGAGCAGCTAGGGGAAGAAGGCCAAGAAGCACCTTCAATCTCAAAATCGTATTGGGACCATAAAAAAGTCACTGCATATGATGAGTGAGATTCTCTTAAAAGGACATCACGTTATAATACTAGGGAGGGAGCATAGTGACAACAAGCAGGGTAATAGGGCAGCAGCCAGTCCTGCAAACTGTTTCCAGCAGCAGGTGTGCTACCTCACAAATGAGAAACAGTAAACCCTTCATACATCCTGGCAGAGTGGCTAATTAGCTCACCCTAAAGAATCATAGAATCATAGAAGTAGGGTCAGAAGGGACCTTGCAGATCTTCAAGTCTGACCCCCCGCCTGGGCAGGAGAAAAACTGGACTCAAATGAGTCCAGCCAGGTAGGCATCAAGCCTCTTCCTAAAGATACCCAGGGTAGGAGCCAGCACCACTTCCCTTGGAAGTTGGTTCCAGCTCCTAGCCGCCCTAACTGTGAAGTAGTTCTTGCAGATGTCTAATCTAAACCTACTCTCCAGTAATTTGTGTCCATTATTCCTTGTCATGCCAGGGGGCGCTAGGGGAAACAGTGTCTCCCCCAAACCCTTCTGGTCCCCCCTAGTGAGTTTATAGATAGTCACCAGGTCCCCCCTCAGCCTTCTCTTGTGACGGCTGAACAGGTTCAGGTCCCGCAGTCTTTCATTGTAGGGTCTGCCCTGTTGTCCCTGGATCA